ATTGGCAAATTAATTTCCTTTTTTAAATTCTTGTGTAATCCAAAACTTGAAGTAATAAAAAGTTATAGCTTCAACTGGAATTAAGTGATTAGTAAAATTAATTTCCTTTTTTTGAATTCTTGTGTAATCTAAAACCATTTTTATTGCCTTTTAGACTTTGTATAATGTCACATAATAATTTGACTAATGAAAATGCATTACACAATTAAAAGTTTATTTATACAGGTAAAGAGCGTGCCAGAAATTACGTGATTTAGTGGGTGGGTGGGGGTCAGGTCCTGCAATCAGGTGTTACAATATACCTTTTATGGTAAAAGTATATTTTTTATAGTAAAAATATATAATTTGTTTATTAAGAAGCTTTTTTTGCAATTATCTCACCATCTAAAAGTCCAATTTTAATGAATTTTTTTTGTTTTATAAAGTATAAAGAGAGCTACAAAATAAAAAAAGTTTATGCAAATTGGATTATTGGATAGTAAAATAATTGTATTATAATATATATGTAATATATAGTAATTTATTTATTAAAAAGCTTTTTTGCAATTAACTTACTATATAGCAGTTCAATTTTAATGAATTTTTTTTTGTTTTGTAAAGCATAAAGAGGTCTACAAAACAAAACAAAAAAGTTTATGCAAATTGGATTATTGGATAGTGAAATAATTGTATTATAATATATATAATATATGGTAATAATTTATTTATTAACAAGCTTTTTTGCAATTATTTCACCATCTAGCAGTCCAATTTCAATGAATTGTTTTTTATTTTATAAAGCATAAATGGGGCTACAAAACAAAAAAAAGTTTATGCAAATTGGATTATTAGATAGCAAACTAATTGTATTATAATATATATATTAATGTAATATATTATATATTATACTGTATGTATTTTTTTAGCCAATCAGAATTCAATCACATGGTGGGTAGGGGATCTAGCCTAGCGTTCCTCCAAAAAAAGCACTGGTCACGTGTTCAAGTAAAAAATCATCACATCTGTCACACCCCTCAGTGTTTTCATTGTTTATATTTATCTGAGGAACTTAGTTTTTTTCGAGTTAAAAAAAACTTATTTGTCACACCTTATCTGTCACCGCACTGTTCACGTGACAGTGCATAATTCTGCATAATGCCGGCCACCAGTGCTTTTTTTTGGGGGAACGCTAGGGTAGTTTGGGTAGGGAGGTCAGGTCTCTAATTGAGCATAATCACGTGATTTCTGGTACACCCCTAATCTAAATCAGTGTTGGCACTTAGCCATTTGGCTGGGATTGGCCATTTGGCTGTTTGGCCAGTTTGGCTGGCCAAACTGGCCAAAAAAATCTTTGGCTGTGGCCAAATGCCAATACAGCCTTAATAAAGTATTAGTATTTTGTTATTTGGCTAAATTTTGGCCGGGATTAGCCATTGGCCGTTTTGCCATTTTGGCTGGCCAAATCGGCCAAAAAATTCTTGGCCGCGGCCAAATGCCAACACTGATCTAAATGTTACGCCATCAATGATTTTTAATATATAGATTCATAGTTAAAGATTTATTGCTTGTTATAGTAAATAATATATACCATATATCATGGGTCATAGTACCCCCCTATGCATAGTACCCCTCTTGAAAAATTTCATAGAATTGTATAATACACAGGGGGATATTTTACAATTATCTCGTGATCCAGTGATCAGATTTGAGCCATCTTTTTTTTGTTTAATAGCTTTCATTAAGTTCTTCAAAATAAAAAAAAAAGATCATTCAAATTGGATTAGTAAATCGTGAGATATTTGCAAAAAAGGAATTTTTAAGTTTTATTTAGTACCCAGGGGTACAGGGTCAAACCCCAATTTTTGCAAGATACTCAGGGTACTGTGGCCCGCTATATATGGTACTTACATCTGAAAACATGTCCATAGGTTTTTCCAGTCAAATATGTTATAGATCATCACAACTCCTTCTGGAGATGTTTCTGGATATTCTATAGAAACAGTTGTATATATATATAACTTTGGGAACTCACAGTTGAGAAGTAAAGCTGTCTCTTATACACATCTAGATGTGTATAAGAGACAGATATATGGTACTTACATCTGAAAACATGTCCATAGGTTTTTCCAGTCAAATATGTTATAGATCATCACAACTCCTTCTGGAGATGTTTCTGGATATTCTATAGAAACAGTTGTATATATATATAACTTTGGGAACTCACAGTTGAGAAGTAAAGAAGGCTAATGTTTCTTTACTTTCTAATTCATTTTCACTATCACCGCTATTTTCACTCTATTTTTGTTAGTTTTTAAAAATTTTTTTTTAATAAAATGATATAGTAATTCAAAAACATTATTTATTTACCATTTTAATTAAGTCTTCTTCATTATAATCATCTATATCCAAAAGTTCAATAATCAAAGACATTATAACTAATTAAAGATTGAAATATAAGTGTATTCTGAAGAAGACGTGTTATAAAATTTTTAAAAAATTGCTTTATATATGTCATAAGTTCTATAAATTCAACTTAAAGGGCTAAATTATGATCTAAAAAGACAAAAAAGTAATAAAAATTAGGTTTATTAACAGTTAAATGTGAAAAAACCTTAATTATAGTTAAATAAAATATTCTTAATTGAAAAAAATAATACCATCAAAGTGTCCAATTGCTATTTGAGATTTTGTAATTTCCATCACTGAAAGATTGGAACACCCACTTGCGGGAAATATTCTAACTTATGGGAAAATTTTCAATTATCTACAATAATTATTATTTGATTAGGTAATTAATAAATCAGCAAATAAATATTTTCACACCCCCAAAAATATGAAATGAATTATTTACAAACATTTTCCGAGGATAAATTACTTACTAACCTTTTTTCCAAATCAAATTACTTGCGAAAAATGTCTAAAATGTTGGAAATCCTTCATTTATTTATATAGGTTGATGTTGTACAATAAATAAAATCTGATCTTGTAACACATCAATGGCTAAATCTAATATATCAGTAATATTTCCGTATATGTACAAGAAAATTTTATAATATATATCAAAAAAAAAAAAAAAAAAAA